AAAAAAAGGAAAAAAATATGGTCCTTGAATCAGAAAAGCCACAAATCGAAAACTGCTAATCGATTTGAAATAACGTAGAGTTTAGTGATTCATTGACTTTTGCTACCTCACACTTTGAGAAAAAAATGTTTTGGATAAATAATTTGCAATAGTCAGTTACTTTTGTTTAATAACCTAATAGGTTTTGGTATGAATTTTGAAATAAAAATCATTGACATTTTGTCAATTTAGTGAAATGGTTATTGATAAATATTTAGAAACTGCAAAGGATTTTGAAATCACATTTTCTGATTCATCACTTTTATGAAGAAGTCTGTTTTACCCTTGGATGTATTTTTCTTGAGGTGTGCTAGGGTTATCCCAAACATTGTACCCCAACTTGCAAACCACTGTACCATGCATAGATAATGGTTGTCTGTGTGTGTTTGTGATGCCCTACCGGTGTGCAAGTTGGAGTACAAATTTTGGAATACCCCTAGATTTTTCCAATTTTCTATCTCCCTATATACTATCGACTCTAATTATATTCCTATCATTCGCAGGCAAGGGCTATGAAGCACTAAACTTTATCATGATGCAGTTCAAATGAATGTTTGAATCATCTGGGAGGTTTTGATAAGTAGTATCCATCATAAAAAAGGGTTTATATAACTTCTAGAATAAATCTTTTTATAATCACTACAAAGTCAATATTTGTTCTATAATACATCACACTTATTAATACTTGAGTGGCAGTAGGAGTTCTTTCAAACTATTTGGTGTTTAGAGCCGAACCAACAGCTTCCCAAATTTGAGTATTTCTAGGATCAGGAATAAGCAATGGGATGGAGATGCTTTAATATGGGTACCCAAGTTTCCTTTTCATTTTTTATTTATCTATATTATCTAATTAAACAAAAATGTATGACTTTATGATGCACGATGAAGGAATTTTTTGAAGCTGCCCATATTTGGTTGATGAGGTATGTTATCTACTCCATATTAAATCTTAGTTGCACTATTGAAAAGGGTAAAATGGTTGATGCATTGAAAGTTCTAAAAAAAGATAGTCGATCATATAATATAGTCTCTACCCTGAGAGAGTACTGGGTACAAGCTTGGAAAACATACAAGGCAATGTAAGTTAAGAGTTTGGTGGGAGTGATTCTTACAATCAACAAGGGATATAAATACTTCATCAAGAAAAAGGGTTATCTTTCCTTTCTTCAAATTCATAACATGGTGGATCCTAAAAAAAGGAAAACATATGAATCCAAATATTTAAAAATGCTCAAATTGGAAAGGTTCTAAATACTGTATAGTGGTGTACATATTTTAAACTTATCATTTTACTATAAAAGTTTTTACGTTAATTAAGTTCTGACATAGGTGAATCTCAATTTGCTACTAGGTGATTCTCACATGCTACGTAGTACGACAAATTCCTACATGAGGACAATGCCTACACAAGGACAACATTCGTTAACAATAAGCTCCCACATGATGACAATGCCTATGCGAGGAAAACATTCACACAGGTTAACACCTCCTCTATTTCTATCTCGAATTGCTAAAACTATGTTTGGTTCAAGGAACTTAAAATGGAAAAGAAAAGAAAATGAGGGAGAATATATTATGAATCCAGTTTGTTTATCATTACAACCTGTTTAATATGTTTTTGGAGATATACTTTGAGTTTTTACTGATCCTCTATAATCATTGGACCAATCTGGCAAAACTATGAAGTTATGTTATTTTTAATCTTTTGGGATTGAGTTTCTTGAAGTAAGCTTATGTTTATTGCAGGAGTGTAGTTTGCATAATGAAATTAGAGCTAACAGTATAAACTAAGGCATAGGTGAGTCTAAATTATGAGGCTTAAATTTACTACCCCGAGTATATAAATGCATATGCCGCTAGGCAGTTAAGAAGCTCCAACCCATTCTTTGGTGTCTTGGTCTGAATACTGAAGTTAGGTAATTAACACTGATTTAGTATATTCACCTCATATTTTAGTTTTTTCCTTCATTACTTGAAGATACGATTAAAACTGGCAGCATGACGTATCTCTGCCATGTGCCCCGTCATTTCAAGACCAAATTCAGAGAGAGTGTGTTCTTTGAGTTAGCAATTGTGTCTTAGTCGAGAGCTTATAACTGATTCTAGATGTTTGTGTTCTGAATTGACTTCAATTTTGTCCTTTCAAAAGTAGGAGTGGATTAATAAGAGCATATGCAAAAATAAGAATAGGTTCACATGATGTTTCCCGTTATATAAACCTGGTGCTCTCAACAAACAACTGAGATATTTGCTAATCTTAAACTCACTCAAGAGTTTAGAAAGACACAACACTATCAAGATCGGTATGGTTAATGCCCAGATGCATTTGAATGAATGAGGCTATATAGTTTCACGGGGGTTCTAAGGGTGGTTACATGTCTTTTTTTGGGAGTGATATCACGATTTAAAAAAATTTTTATACATGCTTTCAATTATTCCTTAGTACAGTATTTGGTTCATCTTTTTCTTTTTATTCATCTTTATTGCACAGATTGCAACTTCCACCTCCACCACGATCACTCTTTCGTCCATGGTATCCCAGTGTCTAATTCAACAGTGGCTTTGATCTATCACATTGCTTATCCCTACTCCCATGAAAACCTATGTAATGAAACATTATATAGTATAATTTAGGGTTCTTTAATATAATTATCATCAATGTTCGAAAAGGCGTATTGCGGTTTTGAGCCGTTTTCATTTCATGGCGTAAGGCGTAAGCCTTGAGGCGTTTTGAGGCGTAAGCCTCAATTTTAAATTGAAAAACATTCACAAAATAATATAAAACCAAAGATAGAACATAATGTATAACATAAATAATCCAAAAACATGACTAATCCCGCCTAATCCAAAAACATGATTAAATCGACTAATCCCGCCTTTGACATCTTTTTTACAAAAATTGCAGTTTACATATTTGTAGTTTTTTTTCCTTCGATTGTGGGTGTTGAGTCAACACCATACTTCCATGCTGGGTCCGACATCTAAGCAATATTCTAATTTCTGAAACAGCAAAATAAACAATACGATACTATGCAATAATTCATCTTAAAAACAAAAAAAATAGAACAATTAGCACATCATTAATCAAAAAAGAAGGAAAAAAAAGAGGATATTAACAGGTGGAAAGAAGACTGGAAAAAAGCAGAGATAAAACGCAGAATCAGTAATCATAAAACGCAAAGATAAAACGCAGAACAAATGAACAATTACCCAAAACATAAAACGCAGGAAAGAGTAAAGAAACGCAGACTGCAGACGGCGAAGAAGACTGCATACCTTTTCGCCGGAGAAGAAGACTGCAGACGGCGACGCTGGACGGTTGGAGACGGTTCGTAGCTCGCCAAAAGGTAATCGACAAAGATTAGGGTAATCGACGCTAATTTTGGGTAATTAATTGGAGTAATTGACAACTTAAACCTTCAATACCCAAAATTTAAATTGTTTAATTTCCAATTTCTAATAATGGAATTGCGTAAGCCTTATTGCGCGCACCGGCGCGTACGCCCCATGGCGTACGCCTTACACAGAATAGCGTAAAAAAACCTATAGCGTGAAAACGGGATTAGCCTTGAGGCGTTTTTTCCGGAAAAAGTTACGAGGCGCGCCTTGAGGCGCGTTTCCGTTTCGCCTTTTCGAACATTGATTATCATTTGCAGGGTAGGGCTCAAGGTGCCTTCCCAAGGACTCTATCCAAAAAGTGATTGCCTTCTACTTCAGAGGTGAGTCGATTTTTTCAAGAAAGAATGGGCATTCTCTCTACTTTGTTTTAGCAGTAGCCTCTTTAACAGCAACCCTTTCAAAAGTTGTTACTCCAGTTTATCTTTTGGAGTACAAAGTATTTTATTATACTCATCCGACCAAAAATTATGGTTGTATTTTTATTTTTCTGGTTACTTTGACCATAAATATAATATAGTTTTGAATAAATAATTTTCTTTAAAAAAATTGCATATTATAACTACATCTAAAAATGAGCCCAATAATATTAAATTTACGTTATATTTGAATGTATTTTCAAATAATTTATTGTCAAACTAATCATAAAAGTCAAACTAGACCGATAATTTTGGGATAGGGAGTGGAGTTTTTTATTTACTCCGTATTTATTTTTAAATACTCCTTATACTTTGTTTGTAAACATTCATGATCCTGATTGTTGGGTTAATGGATTTCTGGAATATGCTACTCATTGTTGTCTGAATATTTATGGTTGTTTTCTTAATGTTTTTTGCATAGTGGTTGAGTAAGGTCATGTTGTTAATTTGCCTTTTTGTCTTTTGCAATCTAGAACGTAAAATTGTGGGTTATGCTTAGGCCTAACAGGAACATGTTGGGTTGCTTGAGGGAGCCTACAAACAACACTTGATAGGCACACACTTTAAATTAGTCGCATTTACT